AGTTTCTAATGGTTTTGTATTCTTTGCATTGTTCTAAACATTAATATTTTATGAGCAACAATATCATGCTCTGTCTCAGTGGCCTTACACCTGATTTTAAATCTATTTTTTCAAACTTTATGATTTAAATGGGGATGATTGTACTGAGAATAACTTTCATCTTTTATTCAACTGAATACTGTTTCCGTGGTGTTTTGATGTATTTTAAAGAGTTGTCAGTCAAAATTAAAACTGCTGGATGATATATATTCTTCATTCTTTATGACAAACACTATAATGTGAATTACAGAATGTACAACGTTTTTAAAATGTGTAAATTGCGGTGTACAGCGTTTATTATGAGGGGGTACAATCCACAGCTCAGTACTCACTACTCAATACTCATGAGTACTTTTAAATAGGCTACTCTTTTACTCTTACTCAAGTAGTTTTTTGGACAAGTACTTTTACTCTACTCACACTACATTTTTTGGAAGGTAATGGTACTTTTACTTGAGTATATTTTTTCAGTACTCTTTCCAACACTGACTGTAAATGATATCTACAATATTCATTTGTTACAAAAACTGTAGCAAGTGTGTGTTTTTATTTACACTGATACTTACACAAAACTTGCTTCATTTTGATATATGGACATCGCTGAAAATTACAGTTCATTAAGAGAGTCAGATGTTGATTCATTAACCATTTCAATCAATTCAGTAAAGGATTTGTCAAACTGATTCAACTGAACAATTCATTAAAAGTATTGGCTCATTTGTTTAGGCTACACTAAAAAGAACCGGCTCATAATACCATAATACATGTTTGCTCAAGAATCAGGGTAGTCTGGTCTGCTTGTTTTCGCATATAGCCTGTGAGGACAACTCAGCAGAAAGACTTTTTGTCATTAATTGATGGGACGCAGTCTTTTTTATTTTACAAAGCACATATTTCTATTGAAATGCTTTAAAATAACGTTTTTTTAGAATTCATATCACAAGAAGTACCTTGAACTATCATTTTTACATTTACATTTAAGCATCTGGCAGATGCATTTATCCAAACCAACTAACATTGCATTCAATCAGTCCATGCATTCCTTGGGATCTGAACCCATTACCTTGACGTTGCTAGCACTATGCTTTACTGCTTGAGCTACAGCAATGCATTTTTCTATACATAAAGGTGATTGAAACCTTATAGATTTTCTACAACAGCGGCCTCCCAACAAAACCTGCTCCAAAATCTATTTCCTCACAGTTAAATTGTTAATAATAATCTCAATATAGAAAATTCCACAACAAGTAATTTAGTTAATTTGCCGAACAGCATGTGATACTGTGGTAACTTGGCACATTATATTTAGAATTCAAACGTAGCTTATTCAATCAGATTTCAGAGCCATAACTGTCTGTATTTGAACACATGAAGTTGATCTCTAGAGGATGTCATTATGATCATGCGCAGGAGACTTTTAACAATGGTAATACTGAGCATAGTCAAGGGCGAATAGCTGTCTTGAATGTACATATGTGAGCGTGTGGTGTATGCGAATATCTGCGTGTTTGGTGATTGTTTGGAGAGGTGGGACATGGTAGTGGTGGGTAATGAAAGTCCCAGTTTTAATTTTCCTGCTCTAATTACATTGGCC